AACCTGTAATAACCCATAGGTTTTTGGCTTCCACCGACATGGTAGATAGTAAAAACCCATAAGTCTGCCGTATCCCATAACCCATAGCTTTTTGAAGGGTCATAACCCATAAAACAACCTATATTAGGAAGGTACAGGTCTCCTTCTCACGAGAATCTGGACCATCTGGACCCTTAATTTTTTGGTTCTCGTGGTATTTCAGAAGATAACCCATACCAGACTCAAGATTCCGTATCTAAACGGTGTCATAAACGACGTCCGGCCTATACCGGATAGGCTGTCTGTCACGCGTACTAGGTAGTCACACAATGTCACACGTTCTGGTAACCCATAGTCTGCAGAAACCCATAACTTTTGGGTTCCACGACCCGTTATGGGTTAAGACAGAGTCGACTGTATATATTCCGACCACGCTAAGTAGGAGGACTCGAAAGCCGGCTGATCAGCAGATACAAATAGGTCAAAATACATGTAAACAGTGCTCGCATTCCCGCAGCGCGAGATACCTTGCTGGTCGCAAGGTACCGTCGAATGGATAGATTCCGAATTGCCCAATCGCAAACTTGAAATGTATCAGTTGTCTCACCCTCTCCCATGTTACATAGAGTTGCGAACAAGGTGAGCGGCTCACTGACATAATGACACCTGTCGCCGAGTAAGAAGAGTACTAAGATAATACAACGCGGCCGGGCTCAGGGTGCAGCTGATGCATCCACCTCGGAACGTTGGTAAAGGGCCTAGTACTCTTCAGCCTGCGGGAAAGCAATTTATAGGTTGCAGGAAGGAGAACACCGGTACCCAGGGGCAGGACTTGACACCGAAGTAGAGGGACCACCAGGGGACCGCCTTCTCAGTACCTCCGGACGTGACGCGTGAAGTCCTCACCCGAGGTCAAGTGTTATTGGTACTATTGGTTGGTCGAACTGACGAGGGGAGTCTACGGCTTGAAGTCTGCTTCAGATTGCATACTTGCAAGCGTTGCAGATCATCATTTATATGTGCAAGGGCTACATACACTCGAGAGTAATACTGCACTCGATAACACGATACACCCATAACACGCATGTCATCAACTCGATGAATACACGGTCTCACAGTCTCAGGCTCAATTGCGGCCACTTCCGTCAGCTTGATCACGAAGAATACGTCTTAACGGCTTCCCAGAAGGATTCTTGGGGATGGCATCAACGAATTGTACACCCCCAGTGAGTCTCTTGTACTCGACTTTGCGGTGATCAACATGCTGCAGAAAAGAAATCAGTACCAGTTAGTACGAGCTGGCAGCATGACGACGAAGTATTCACATCGATAATTGATTTTTTGATCTTAGCTTCTTCCCATGGGTCCTTCATGCGCTCACGGGCACCTTGTGTCGCTACTACAAACGCCCGTGGAGCTTCACCAGTGTATTCGTCTGGTATACCGACAACACAGACATCAGAGATATCCGGATGTTCGTGTAGGACACCCTCGAGTTCCGCCGGCGCGACTACAAATAATCAGGGCATCGCTTGACGAGAGGATCAGCGTACTACTGCACCTTGAAAACCTTTCACTTTTATCAACTCCTGGTCGAGCGAGGTGAGCCTCTGGTAAATGAATAGTATCACATCTGACACACCTTGATACGGTCAATAATGGTTATTTCAGCGTCTCTGTTCATAATCACTTCATCGCCAGTGCGCACCCATCTGAGAAGAGTTACATATTGATGCAGGTGGAGTATGAATGCACGTACCCGTCCGGGGTGAAGGTCTCCTTCGTGCTGTAGCAAGAAACTCTCAGATACGCGGGAGTCATGCCTGTATTTACTCACGCCTCATCGTTCTTGTAATATCCAAGAGCAGCGGAAGGAGTGCGGACCCAAAGTTCACCTTGTTCTCCGATTGCTGCAGATGAACCGTCCCGTTTAACAACTCGGGCTGTGTTTCCGACCAGTAGTCGTCCAACAGCACCATTCTCGCTGTACTGCTGACGGTTAGGAGAAAGGGCCACCGATGAACATGTTTCAGTCATTCCTGGGGAGGTTATGTTAGTCACAGCCTTCCAGGACAATATGCCTTCCATACCATATCCTTGGCCAATAGAACATTTAGGTACGATTGCAATGAACTGACGTTGTATTTCCGTCGAAAGCGGAGCCGAACCGCTCATGATACAGCGAAGAGAGCTTATATCATACTTCGCTGTCATGGGGTGCTGAAGAACATTAGGTCGGGGGCAATGGAATAACTAGGAGCAATGTACCTTGCACAGAAGTACCAGGATGGGCGGCGCGACTCTATGAGGAACGAGGGTCAGGACATGACTGTAGAATGAACATGTTACGCACAAGAGGTGCCTGACTCGATAGGTCTGTATGGTGCTAAGAAATCCTGAAAGCTCAAACTTGGGCAGTATGATTACAGTTATCTGACGGTCGAAATATGAGCGGGACCAAGTATGTGGATAAGAGAAATATTACTGACACCACCGTAGACATATACGTGTGTGAGCACCATCATCCCAGTGACATCTAGGTCAGCGGTCAGCTACTTTTAGCTAGCCGCTGAGAGGTAGTGTACATACGGAAGAAGGGGATAACTACAGGAAATATTCCTGTTATTCTCAACTGCATATATCAATGAATGGATCTACACACCTGCCAGTGCGATATCACCAACCCGGTATCGCGCTTCATCGTAAGGCGAAGGATCGCGATTGAACTCAATATGCCATGCCGTCTGAACCAAATTCGCGATCACTGCATAATGGGAAATTGCTACAGCCTTCGGTTTGCCCGTCGTCCCGCTTGAGAAGAATAGGAAAGCGATTCTCTCCTTTCCCTCGCCCGGATTCAGACGCCTTTCGATAAAGGTATGAGGAGCGTTCAAGCCGTCTGCAATGAGATTTTCGACAGTCGGGAAGGTATGCTGTTCAGAGGTGTTGTCCAATACAATGATGCGACCTCTTGCCATTCCGCAACCTCTGGCAATCTCCTCCGCCACAGAAAGGGAAGTGGAATGAGTGACAAGCAAGGCAAGCTGGATTCCGGCGAGGTGCTCCTTCAATTCATCTGCGGTATATGCTGGATTGGCCGGCCTAAACCAACATATTGACTAGGCGTTTAAAGAGATGGCAAGATATCAACGAACAGGATAACTCCGCCGAGTCTATGGACACTCCTGGAAGACCATAGCGTCAGATCAGCATAGTCAGATGTGCACTATTGATACCATGTGACAACAGGGTAGTCTGTGCCGCGAAGTTAGGCCAATGATAAGCGCTGTAGAAGTATGACCTACCGACGTGGTTTGGAATAAGTAAGCATACTAGGGATGTCAACTGTCAGTCAGAATGCGGCATGCACATTCCAGGAGACATTTTACTATACCAATGTCACTCTCTCCTGTAAGATGAAAAGCCGTCGGAAATACGGCACAAGCATGGTGACTTCGAGTCACAGTGAGCGACGTGATGGCGCCTCACCTACGTTGTAGTCCCGTTTGAGGACAGCAGCGAGTGCTGCCGTTCGCGCGACCACCTTTCGAGGCGAATTCAGCCACTGGCATGATACGAGGGAAATATCGCACCATCTCCCTACTGATCTTCGTTCCTGAAGTCCCATCGATGAACCAAGGGACAGAAGGATCATGCGGAGGACGGGTTGGGTGCTGTTCTCCGTCGAGCAAGAATTGTGGTATGGTCATATTGTCTGGGATCGGAGGCAAAGGTCCTCCGGGGGCGACGATCTCTGACATCTCAAACTACAAAGTGGAAGGCGGGGTGTCCTGTCTTGCCTGATGCACGATGCTGGGAGAGATGTTATAATGTACCAGAGGAAGCGATCGCTTAGGCGTGCCAGAGAGAAAGAGAGAGTTGAAACAAAAGATGGATGGGCGCACCAGTACTATTTTCGTCTTCTCGAGTGCATCATGGTAAAGCGAGTGTAGAGTTCGCCGAACAATTGTATCACGAACGCAAGGACCACGGCCTTTGCCAGGTGATGCTTCAGCATGTACATCACGGATCTCATGTGACAATTCGGCCTTTGAAATAACATCATGGTAAATAAACTCCGAGTCTGTAGCGTACTTTATGACCAGGATCCAGCCGAGAACCTCCCCAAGGCTCATGCCGTTCACTTACTGGCATTACTGCGTGTGACTGGAAGCGACCGCAGCTATCGCGGTGACTGCCTCCCGGGAGAACCTGGACCAAAAATTAGGGTGATCCAGTTCTAACTGCGAAAGCCGCTTTTGGTCGCTTTCTGAGAAACCGCTTTTTCGGCTCGGCCGGAGAATGCGTGGGATCTCGGTCAAGCTGCTGCTTTCTGGCAGTGAACAGCCAATCAGAGATCAGTCAGCGAGACTCGCGACTTCGGACGGAGTCGACTGCGGTTTTGTCTGAGCTGCAATGCATTGCTGTGATCATGATCAAGCTGTGATCTACAGGTGCAACCCGCGTTACACTCATTGTCATGCCCGCATCGTCATTCAGTTATCTTTCCTGTCAAAGCTTTCTGTCTGTCCGAGCCTTTGCAGTAATGCTTCGTGACATATGCAATATGAAACCTGTTAATATTATATGCAAATGACTGTTAGTGGGAGACCATGATCAGTAAAGCTTGCCTCGGATCGAGAACGTCGCGGTCGGTTATACGTCCATGCAGACCACGATCCGCATGTGGTACAGTAATGCCGGGATGTTGGCAAGATGGACAGCTATAGTGCCTGTATACTGTGGTCAGAACTTCTGACCATCACCTACCGATTTCATTCCACGTCCGAGTCGCTGATGACCGCGATGCTAGTAGGTGATCAGAATATGTAACTTTAGGGTGCAACAAGTGAACTCGAAGCTCCGAGAAGATCACCCCATGTTCCGCCTGTGCGGCTTTTGACTCGGAGGAAACCAATCGTGGCCACTGACGATGGAACACAGCCTGTTGTCGGCGCTGGACCCCAGGCCTACAACCCCGCGCGAATAGTAAGACTGGAATCGGGTCATCACGACGCGGTATACAGCTGCTTCGAACGGTGGAGCACCACTGGAACAACCTCAAATATAGGTACAAGTGCCATTTTGCAAGCAGAAACAACTGGTGCGCGATTACTCTCGGAAAGGGATATCATCGATATTCCCAGCGGTGTGACTGAGGACCGCTCCAGGTCCCGTCCAACAGACCTGTTCTAACATCATCTCCCAGGTCTTCGATTCGCGGCATGAAGGTAGAGTGATCCCCGACTCCGACATCCCCGAGAAACACATGGCCGCGGAAGTGAATACTAGGAAGAGATTTCGAACCGGAAAACATTGCCACGGACGCAACTATCCGACCCGTATGTGATCTCCCATGATGCTCTCTGCACACATTCCAGCATACCAGAAGTTTCCCCGTGCCTTCGGCAGCTCGAGTACCGTGTTTTACTGTAGACATCCGTTCAAATGGGACACCGCATGTATGCTCTGCCCATCGAAGCAAGTGACTGTATACCGGGGTATCAGCGTGCCTCAGGCGGTGATGGGCCATATCAACGGCAGCCCCATCGATACGGTGCTCTGGTATTTGTCATGTTGTTATCTCAATTGTGGGTCCGTGGCCTCGAGCATCTACCGCTTGGTCTTTTGTCATCACCGCAGCGGAGCGCCACCGATGTCTGTTTAAATTCACAATATAAGGAGGGTTGACTCTTGGGATACGTTCATCCAGGGTTTCAAACCTACTTACCGAGCTACCTCAGACTGACAAGATGCCATCCGTGGATTTACTGTATGTCTACCCTCATCATTGCGCCCGGGCAATTTGAACTAATCGTGACTAGCGCTGGACCCCAGGTAACTTGGAGCCTTCTCTGTCCTGTATGAAGCTTGTCGTTAACTTTTCTCAGATCATTGGGTTTGCATTCAACTGGATGCTGCAGGGTATACTTACGACGCAAGTGTGTATGTATCTTCTACCACCATACCAATTTGACTTATGCTGACGCTTGTTTGTTTAGACATCTATCATCTATGTTTCCGGAAAGACTCTTTGTATATCCAGGCTCTGGGTACGCTGGGATTGCATAATCGCCTATTCTCTAGACTTACTCTCGCAGTCTACGGAATATTCATCTTCGAATGGGTTCAGACGGGCTTGATTACCGTCGACTACTTCGATGCATTTATCTACCATTATGGCGACATACGCGCACTCACCTCCTACTACAACACCTGGTTCAGCGTAACTATCATGTGCGGCGTAGTTGCCGCAACGGTGCAGAGTGTCTTTGCGTGGCGCATCTGGGTTCTGTCGAAATCACGCATCGTCCCTTGCTTAATCGTATTGGTAAGACTGTTGTGGTATGGGGCTAGTTATAGAGTGCCGATCTAATCTTCCTGCAGCTTGCATCGGCCATGGTCATCATTTCCATTGTAGGCGGCGTGAAGGTGAAGCAATTAGCGCTTCCATCGGTACACATTGTTCAGTGCTGATAGCGATGCACAGATCAAGCAGATTACTTCCGCTACCCAAGCGGCAGCTGCGAGGCCAATCATCACGGTTTGTCAACATCTCCAGCACTGACATCACACTCACCAAAGTTATCTGGTAGACATGGCTCTGTGGAAGTGCTAGCATCGATGTCATTATCGCAGTAGCCATGACCATCTTAGTGGGCAGCTCCTTAGATTGTAGGTAGCGTTACAAATTTGACCTGATATCTCGCGTAGCTCCTGAGAGCCAAATCCGGCATCGCCGAGTCCGATGCAATAATTCATCGCCTCATCCGTCTGGTGGTCGAGAGCGGCAGTTTGACTGGTGCGTTTAATTCCCCTTACCCCGACCTATGCTAATCCGAAGCATCTATCAGCATTTTTCGCCGTCATATTCGTCATATTCTTCAGTGTGTGGCCGGTAAGTTGCCCGTCTGTATGTAATATTGTTGTACTTACTGCTCCCAGAATACACTACTCCATGAATGCACGTGAGGACCGGTATTCCTTCATATTCAGAAATCCTTCTCATCGCAGGACTGCTAGTGCCCTAGTCCTCACAAAGCTGTACGCCTTCAGCCTCCCATCGCAGCCTTGCCTTCGTGTCAACGACCTGATTTAGCTATTCCAACATGCTCCTGACGAGCTTCAACAATCGCATTTTCGTACGGGGTACAGGATTCCCAGGCACCAGTTCTTCTCGACTAGCCCACACCTTGAGCAGCGGGAGTGAATTTTCTGCTCCTCGGCATGGAGCATTACGCGATCTGAATGCCGTGAGAATCAATGTAGCGCAGGAAACATTCGCACACGATGACATAGCTCTGCAGGACGCCCAGGTATGCAACGGAACTTATGTGACTTTGCGAGAAGTAACAGCGTCTTCGTAGGAGTTCAAGTCTCAGGAGAAGCTACCGATGGCGCGGTGAACAGGAATGGGACGCAACTACGACCGTGTCTGCGCTACAGTGTTCCGGTCGCGATGGAATGGACATCTACCATTAGTCTGAGTCATCTGAATGACATACTTAGCTCGCACAACGGTCTATACGCACCACCGCCTCGCTCAAAAATGTGTCAAGTGTTTATGTTGTAGATTTGCGGATGGAATTAATCCGCTTGAGCATTGCCATTGGGAATATAATTGATACCGTGTATTGAGATTTTTACACATGATTCTAAACTATATTAGCGGTCAGCGTGCACTGCATCATATTACCGCAATTAAAAACCGGCACATTCCCGCTGTAAGGGGCTTCAGGGGCAAGAAAAATAACTGGTTAATCAGCCTGACATCGGCATACCTGTCTGCCCCTTCACTGACCTACCCTTCCGCAGGTGACTCCGGCTATCTCGCACCCATGACCTCGAGGGCTACGTCCCGGATGCCGCTCTCCTCTCGCCGCGGACCAGGCATGCTGATCAGCAGGGATACTTGTACCGCCTCGATCGCCCGCGAAACTGGCTCGCGCGATTGGAAGATGAGGCAGCGCGCACGGCGTTCGAACATGGCAAGCACAGAATCCGCGTCGGTAGGCGGGCGGAATCCGATTAAGGACGCGGAGAGAGGCTGGGACCCGGTGTGTCAATTGCTCGGGCGCAGGGAAGACACACGCACCTGCACGTCCCTCCAGCGCCCCTGCGCCTGCTTCGCCCCGAGCATGACTTCCGCATACGTCGGACGCTCGTACTCCGATCCGCCGCTGCTCACTCGGGCGGACAAAGGCGCGTGCAGCGGATGCGTCCAGCCGACAGCGGCGCGCCTCCGACGCGCAAAGGGCATACACTTGACGATGGTGGCGGAGACGATTGCAAGGCAGAAGGCGGCGCCCAAGAAGCACGACATGATGAACTCGTGCCGGTCGGGGGTGTAGCGTTTGAGGATCGCAGGGGACGTGGACAGGCGTGGAGGCGACGCTACGGGCTGCGATTGCGCAGCCATGGTATTGGCTTGCCTGCTTGTAGGAGGTGGGACGGAGGGCATGGCAGGGCATGGACGGTAGAAATACAACAAGCCTGAGGTGGTGGAGATGGAGGTAGTAAAGACTGCACATAGCTATCCTCCGTAAAGCTTCTTATGTGGAGTATCATGAGACGATGAGCAGGCGCAGTGGAACGTCAGTGGTCCTCCAGCCATCATTCAGGATGATAATAGATGCGATAACCGCCTGAGCATACCCAGGGCATATCGTCATGCTTCGAAAGTGCAGCGGCCTCCAACAAAGATACAATGAGGCTCGCATGGGTCCTTTCCTTCTCGTCTGCCAGGACTAACCCGAGACAGAGTCCACGACCGTGCTCCAGAGATCAGCGGTACAAGCCCAAGACTTACGGACCGGTGGATTAGCAAGTCGCCGTAGTACGATGATAGTGCGAATCAGCGACAGGAATGAATCCGGTGTCTGTCAGTTTTGAGCTGCTCATGTGAGGGGCCACGACCTTGTCGCTTCTGCGTCTGCGGTACACAGACTGAGACGTGGCATTCACGGATGCGAAGGTTCGTTGAGCGTGCGCGTTCGACGAAAAATCTTGATATTTGTGGTTGATGGATTCAAGTCCCTCCCTCGCACAGGGACTTGAGTTACGCATTCGTCAGAGACTTGTGCTTCCCGGACACTGTCCAGCAGGCTCTGCGCCAAGTAGGCTTATGCCAATATCTCGTCGCCCGGTCTCGGGTAGCTAGATCCGTCGACAGAAGACCGGAACGCGTATGGTCTATGAATTCCATGGAATTGGGTCCCTGCGAGTACGTCCATTGCCGAACAATGAGCTAGAGACGAGATGAGACGTCCATTTCGACTTTGGTTATCTGTAAGAGGGGACATGCCGCAAAATCGAAGCCAGACGTTACGTCCCCAGGACCAGAAGAGGAGCGCTTTGTTCGATATATTCCGGCGACGTAAATAAGGATGCACTAGTATCAAGGCCGGAGTAACGTCCAACGTAAGGATTTGCAGCAACTTGAAACTACACCGAGTCGCATGTCCATCCATAGCAATCGCAAGCAAGACTACTGACAGCACCAGATTAATACCAGAGCAGTCGCATCTCATCGAGTAGCCTCCTGTTGGGAGCACATCCGTCGTTATGTCTCCGCACAACGTTATTCGTTCGGATGCAGGCGCCGTACGGCTAGAGTGTTACGGACATCCGGTGAAAACTAGAGTAAGTAAGTATGGATCGAAGTCTTCTCTCATGAGGGCACCGGCAGGTGCCTGCCAAAGGATACGTCCATCCGGTACAGGGCAAGGATAGCAAGAGGATCGATCTGAACTTTTGGGAACGCCTCGTCCCGGATAGAACAGCTCTTTGCAGGCAAACCCAAGAGACCGGGTATGAAGTGGCCAGACAGGTCAGTCTTGCCATCCATGATAGTATCGACGCCCGTCCGTAGAAAGATGTCGCAGCTGGGAGATGTGACCTTTGGCGCTATTCATATTATAATATTATTTGTGTACGCAATTGCGTAACCCCTCCGCCCCTTCGCTGCAAATGGGGAGAAGAACGCCGCGGACGAGGGGAACGCAGACCAAGAATCGTAGAGATCAGTCAGTGCACTTTAGCTCGAGTGGATGTGGTGAAGAGGAAAGCCCAGCCGCCCCTAGCCCAGCGCCACGGCCAAGCCACGACCGACGGCCCTCGCGGTCTACTTCCGTATTCTATGTGCTCCCCCTCATATACAGCAATATCATCCACTCTCAGACAACAGTTAGGGCATCATATAACTCATACAGTGGGGGTGGAATTAGGACACGTCGGTATCACAATATAATACAGTAGTAAACTGTCCTCGAGCAGCGCGCTCTATGACGTTTCAAACTCCTGACTTCATTACTCTTCTTCCTCCTCGGGAATTATTACGACTGCTTCGACCCGCTATGCATAGCCTCCCGCACGCCCGACGACCCCGACTTGCTGTCCCCACCCAGCTGACCCGCGCCCTGCGCACTCGCAGGCTGCGATTCGTCTATCCAATCCAACACAACACCCAAAAATACAGTCAGTGTGAGAGTATGCGATCCAGACGAGTGGTATACGCACGGTAGATAGATTGACCCTGCTCTTCTGACTTGCTCCGCTTCCCAGCAAAGTAGAGTCCGAAAATCGCAGCAGTCGTGACGGCCATGGTGATCGCGGCCTGTTGCTCCCCGTCAGATTCATTCCATTCAGGTTCCGCCGTCGACGTACCATGGGGCGGCTCTTCGGGCTTTGGCTCATGTTGTGTGTGGTCCGTGTAAAGGGTAAAGAAACGGTAGTTCGATTTATGAGGCGATAGAGAGAGGGGGTCTATATATGCACACCCAAGCGATCAATTTCATAGAGGTGGTCGCGGTGACGTCATGGTCTTCCTGATGCCCTGTCCGCTCCGTCAGGACTTTGTGGCTGTCATGCCACGGCCACTGTACGACGCCGTTATACATCCGTTATACGCGCGACACTGGCAGTAATACGATGAAAGTATTGGTTTATATCGGCTCGGACGGATGTAACAGGTCCACAAGCAAATCAATCAATGCAACGTCGTTACAGGTATTATTACATTACACTCTTCAATTCATCTTCTGAATCAATCCGCTACAAACGGCGTGCACGGATGAGCCCCCTCAGCGATCGTTACTCGGCCTATCCCCAGTAGCAGCGGCCGTCTTCTGGCGCACGTCGCCTACGGACTGCTGCATCGTGCTATTCGCGTCCTCCGGCTGCTTCGCGCGAGCTATGGCCAAGGACCTCAGCATCATGTAGGATTCGTAAGAGTGAATTGGGAAAACTCACGATCGGTGGAGGTCATCGACCCAGCAGACGAGCGGACCAGGTACACACCTAGGCCTGCAGCGGCGGCAGCGGCGCCGACCATCTACGCACAACGTCCCGTCAGTGAGCAGCCTTCCTCTGGCTAGTCACTGGGTCTGCGACGTACCAGGGTGCGGTTGGGTGCGGTGCTCATTGTGTTTATGTTTTGGTGGAAGTATTATGCTGGCCTAAAGCAAATGTGGCAGACGGGTTTTGTATGCCAACGCCATGGTCGGATGAGGGATGGAGAGCGCAGAGGAAGCGCGGGGTCCATGACGTCGATGAGATCATCCACTGCAGCCTGGGAGCCGTGTGAATCTAGCGGTCTCATGGGACCCATCAGGGACCAGCCACATTCTGCCACAATCGCATTGGAAGATGGAAGTTAAACTACAGATTTGGGTTGGGAAAGAAACTGAAATGATTGTACTGACAATCCTCCGCGTTTAGACCATGTGCTTATGAGCTTTATCTTCGCATCACCTATATTGACAGCTTCACCTCGGCCTGCCATACGTGTTCACTAGGCTTCTGGCAAGATTATACTGCATCCAAGAAAAGAATCGGCAGAGTATAAGAGCGTAGTTGTGTATAGAGTGGCTGCTCTGAGTCCTCCCAAACGATACCGTCGAATGAATTATCAACAGCTCCAGAAATCAGACCCAATAAAGCCGTGAAAGGCTGCCAATCGCGAGAGATGTACGCGAATCAATGCACAGTACGGCCAGGCCGTATCCACGATCAGCGAGACGAGAAATCGAAAGCAAGATAGATTCAGATGTAACACCAACGATACAAAGTCAGGTATACAATACAAGTCCACACATTACACGGTATCCGCACCTAACACCAAGGTATAGCACATACAAGAACGACTGGGGGGGGGGGAAGGGGGGCCGGAAAATCAAACAGGCTCGTGCATGACACAGTCGACCTTCTCGAGCCACGCCCGCCGCAGCTTCTCCTTCCGACACTGCAGGCTATTCCCCGCGCCCAGACACGTCCCGTTCGCACAGGACCCGATACTCGTGTGGAAGGGCAGGCTGCCCGGGTCGGGAATGCACGTATACTGCCCGCCGCCCGTGCTGGGTGTCCGCGGCAGCGTCTCCGGGTCGGCAGCGTACGCGAATATGCGGAGACACTGCGCGTTCGACAGGCGCGGCGCGGCGAGGGACATGATATGCAGCTTCAACTCGGTGGGCAGCCGCGGCATGGAGGTAGCGTCCTGTTGAGGGACAAGGGACTCTGCGTCGCTTCGTCTGGAGCGGAGGAGTACTCGGCGCGCGAGGACCAGCAAGGACAACGCTTCTTTCTCCCGCATCCTGGCCAGGTAGTCGTTGCGCTCCATCACTCTTTTCAACTCCTTCTCGCGGGCCGGCCATTGTGCTAGGGCGTTGAACTCCCTCTCATCCAGTACCCCATCGGGCCCAGGCCCGGGCACTGGGCTGAAGTTGCCTAGCATCTCCAACCGGGTGAGATTGTAGTTGGACACGGTCACCGCGCGTATTATTTGACCGACGGCATGGGCTCCCAAGCTGTTGCCGTTCAGTCTGAGCGTGCGCAAACGGCAATGGGGGGAGATGAGGTAGTGGATGAGGGGGTCCATGGACCGGTTCGTGATATTCAGCAAGGTCAGGTGCAGTTCCCGCAGGTGACGAGCATGAAGGGCCGGGAGAAATCGTGATATGAAAGGGTCCGAGAGGAACGTGTTTGTCGCTAAGGAGAGCATCTCCAGAGAAGAGGAATTGAGCGCCTCAGCGAATCTGGTGACGACCTCAGGGTCGCCCCGGAAGGCATTCTGCAAGTCACGTCCGCCTGTCAATAACTCCGACGGAGACTGTAAGAAGATGCAACGTACACCCTGCAGGAGCAGGCTCTTCAGCGCGTGATTATCTCGCAGATAATCTGCGATTGCAGCCAGCCCGCGATCGCCAATGTTATTAGAGTTCAGGCTGATCTCCTCGATCCTGTACCCCCGGCCTTCTTCAGAGCACAGGTAGTCAAACAGCGTAATGCATCCGTCGTCCCCGAGGTCATTGTGGCCCAGAATCAACTTCGTGACGACCCGCCGCGAGCGGATGTCCTTTATGATGTCCTTCACCCCTGCTGAGCCGTCAGTATGGTCCACGAAGCGCTTCGTGCAATACGACAGTCGTGGCTGTAATCACACGGAATATGAAGCGCCCACTGCACCGTTCCCTCTTCCACCACACCGCACCCCGACAGAGCCCAAGAATAGCTAAAGACGTCCTGTCCTCACCTTTGTTCGCACATTCCACGGTGCTTCGTTTCGACAGCAGAACAGCCGCCGATGTCGGCTTCAGCGTGACGTGCGCAGCGCTGGGCCGGCTCTCGATTGTCGTCGTCCAGATGGACATGGTCCGAAGGAAGCTAGAGTCTGCATAGACAAGGAGCTGTTCTTGAGTCGAAATAGACTGCACTGTCCGCCGGCAAAAGGTTACGTATGGCGGTGGCAGTATGTTGCGGCGACTGCCGAGAGGGTAACTCAGAGCACGAGACCTAAACAACGATGGCCGGACAACGGCACGTCTATCTGAGAAATTGGCGTAAGCTCAGGCTCCTAGAACCATCCGTCTCGCGTCCTCGATCCTCTCTGCTAGGGCGTGTGTGAAGATGTTATCTAATATGGCTTATATAATGTAATTTATTTATAGCTGTGTTTCCTGATTAAGCCGAACGGTGAGGATGAGGCACTGGGTACAATACCCATTTTGAGTCACTGAGAAAGTGTGAAAGGAACCGGACAAAGGTCAGATTTTGTTCATAGTGTTGCCTTGCAAAACAAATGGAAGTTCAATGAACAGTACTGAACAAAGATCATATCCTGTGTCACAATCAGATTTTTGCGCACTCAAAAGTAGTATTATTCTAATTCATTTCACTGACTGTGCAATGGATAATCATGAAAAAAGTTTGACCTTTGACCTGTTATTGTCAAAGTTTTGTGCATGCTCAATATGGGTGATGTACGCAGTGAGGACGCTATGAGACGGCTGGCCCAACTCGTCGTCCGAGGTTTCACCGGAATTATGTAAGGTAGCTAAGCGACTAACGACGCGTTGGTTTACTGTTGGTTTATTGACGTTCGTCGACTGCCCGATTCGGATTGAGGCTTGCTCTATGTCCTCTGCTCGTCTGCACATTGACGGCGGGGGGACGGGGATAAAATCTGACGGTAATATAGCAAGCCATTTCTTAGATAGTGAAACAATAATGCACGAGTGTCCAGGGGTCTGTTGCTATATTTTCGATGAATAGATTAATTTACATACAATGCAAAGTCCAAGCACCAAGTTCTTCATTG